GGAAATGTAAAGGTAGACGTTTTGTAGCAAAAGGAAGGGAGGTGTTGACTTTCAGTCCAGGAGCGGAGGTCCCTGGGACCATCAAGGGAGAAGAGCAGGACCCTACCCAAGAGAAGCAGAGATGGAGGCAGTCGATGACGTGGAGAGACAGAGCGGCTGGGAACTGTAGACCCAGAGAGGGAGAGGGACTGTATGCTGACAACCAAGGGGTGGGCATGCGTGATGTACCCTTTGGTTGTTTGATGATGCCTGGAGGAGACTGTAATCATGGCAATGAAACAGTATATGATAGGATTAATGTAAAGCTAATGGTCTCCCAAGTAAACTACCACATAATTCACAATAAAAAGTTTAATAATAATACTACATGTTGTATTTTCACATTATTTAACCTGTAAACTACCAAATCTTCTCTGAAAAAAGATAGAATCACATCTTAAATAACCTTAGATGTCTCCTAACCTTTCCATAACTTTCTTTCTTCCAATGTTTAAGAAAGAACAGAGAAAGAACAACACGAATTTCGAGAGTTCACAGGTGTCTGGGATCTAAAGACCCTCAATTTCCTGTCACTGCCCTCAATTTCCATTTTAGAGAGAAAAAATGTAGATGATAGTATTTAAACAATAATAATTAAGTACTGCGGAGAGATTCTAAAAAGCAAAATTCCAAGTTTGGTCTCAATTACCCTTGAATAAAATAGCCTAAACTATCCTGGTGTGGTGCTGTAGGACAATACACTGGATCACAAAGTCAGTTTGGACTGCAATATCAATGGCTGAAATCCACCAGCCATTCCTTGTAAACCATAGACAGGGACGCTACAAGTCGAAACCAACTCAATGACACTTAACAACAAAAGATCCTTATATCACCTTAATGTTTCACAAACCAATAAAATAATGATTACTCTGCATTCTAGTTATAAACTCTCTTTCCCTGGAATACAGGAATTTCTCTCTTTTTCTTTTTGCCAAATCTATATTGAATTCATTCATATATGAGATAGAAGAACCAGAAAAACAAAAAAACTTTTAAAACAATCAAAACTATAATAATTATCTACAAAGCATATAAATAAAATGTAAAGGAAAGAAAGGTTAGTTACCTTAACAGCTTTCTGGGAATTGGGCAGTCCTTCCTCTATGTCTTCTAAAAGAATCCCACCTAAGCCTCTCTGGTCATGCTTATCCAAGAGCCTCAGGAGGGCCTTCTTATCTTTCAAGTTGTACTTGGGCTTGAAGGCATACTTCCCATCCACTACTTCAATTTTGGGATTGTTAACTAATGCCTGTAACAGTGACATAATTTGGATATATTCACAAAAGAAAATCATATAAACATTTTAAATTTTACTATTTAAAAACAACACTACCCAATACAGTGGCAGATTAAAATATCTTGTGAGTTCCAATTAGCATATTCAAAACACTGACAGCACTGCAAAACAGTAGATGGAGATATGCACAGTGCGGCTTTTTCTTAAAAGAAGTTGCATGCTATTTACATAAATTCTCTGAATGAGAAATCAATTTACATCAACTGATCTGAAGAAAGCTGCACCCACGTTCTTTTGGAGGACAAAAGGGGTAAGAATAAACAAAACTCCAAGTACTGTTTATCGCATATTGGCATATAATGTAAGAAACATTATCATGGAATGAACAAATCAAGTCATTCTTCACTACCAGGTGTCAAATGGCACTGGGAGCCGTGGAAAAAATTGAACAGGACCAGACTAGTGCATATAAGAACTTTACCTACACTGTCTGCTTGAGAATGAAACTGAGCAGGAATGCAGGGATTATTAACCTAATTACGTCCCTGGAGTCCTGGTGTAGAGCTGTACGATAAGAACTGGAAAGATAGCACACCAGCTGCTCCTTGGAAACCCTATACAAGATCACTATGCGTTGGAACCAATTCAATGACACTTAACAACAACATGTTCCTAGTCAGTTGTACACCTAATATCAGAAGAAAAGGTTTTTTAAGAAACAGCAACCCCATTTCTTTTCTTCTGTAGCTGCTAGCCTGACCCTGAAAGAAGAAAAAGAAGAAAGGAGGAAGAATAGAATAGTAATAAAAGAATATTCGACTAATGTTTGTAATCTATGAAGTTCTAAGATTAGGTAAACCAACAAAATTTAAATGTGGATTACCATTATATGTATATCACTAATAAAATAAGCTATATATAAAATAATTAATTGATTCAGTCAGGATATTTTGCTTGGTAAAATAAATTAAAATTATACTTTGGGAGGTTCATACTTGGCCTTGATAATCTAGCACTTGTCTTAGAAAGTCGTTTTGTTCATTCTTTTATTTCATATTTAAACTCAAGATAGGTAAATGCCTGAATTATTAAATTTCCAAATCACCACAGTCACTGAATATATTAGGGTTTCTTTTCTTCAAATGTTAGGTGTTTATGACTCTTTCAAGATAATCTACAAAAGGCAGCAGACCAAACCAAAATGGAAGAGTATAACAAAGTATCTTGCTAACCTACAATATATCATTTTAAATTTCTTAATATGTATATAAAAACAACACTAATTACAAGCATGCAAATTGTAAAATCTAGCTATTTAAAATTCTGTAAAAACTATTATGAGGAACTGGTACAATGACTAACTTCTTTTAACCTAAAACCTTAACTTTAACAACAACAACAACAACAAAATGATATGAAAACAAACAAGCCAAACAATCTTGTAAACATGTATGCTTAAAAAAAAAATAAAGATCCTACACCACTTCTTTTACAAAAAAGTAAAAATTATTATCAGATTTCAGTGTATTCAAAATCTTCTGGTTATATAACAAAGATCTTATGGTAATCACCTTTTAATATATATTTTTTAAACAATATTTTATGCCTATTTTTACCTCAGTCATTAACCATTGTTTCTGCTTGAGTCCAATATCTAAATGTTGTGTTTCATCCAAAATTTCTTCTAAAGTTAGAGGATGTGTATCTCCTTGCTGATGCCGTGTCTATTGAAAGAAGAGATCACTATTAGAAGACAGGTTTAAAATGCTAGCTGCATTAAATAATAATTATACTAAATGAATCTTTTCAGTAATAAAGAATACATATCATTTGAGGCGGTACAATTACAATGATGAAATCAGAATCAGGTTCAACTCCTGGTTCTTTAAGACCAAATGATACACTTGGAAATAATAATTTGCAACTCATATCACAAACAGCTCTGGTAGCATAGTGGTTACGAATCGGGCTGCTAACCTCAAGGTTGGCAGTTCGAAACTACCAGCCGTTCAGCGGGAGAAAGAGGAGGTTTTCTGCTCCCGTAAAGATTTATAGCCTTGGAAACCCTGTGTAGGGTCACTATGAGTCAGAATCGACTCCATGGTACTTAACAACAACATCACAAAGAGCTAATCTCTTTAACAATTTATAAGCTGCCAAGAACTTAACAGAAAAATAGTTCAAAGACAGGAATAGAGCACAGAAAAAGGAATGCAAATGACCTTAAACATATGAAAAAATACTCAAGTTGCACCAAGATATTTCTCACCTATTGGACTAGCAAAAATTCAAATGTCTGACAATTCTACTGGTGGAAACAGGCCCTCTCACACATTTCTAGTAAGAGTACAAAGAGGTACAACTCCAAGGGTAGGTAACAAGGTATTATTTATGCCTTTACCCTCTGACCCAGCAATCCCAGTTCTAGGAATGCACATAGCCTACAATGTGAACCAGCACAACACAGAAATCTCAATTATTTACAAGGTCATGGCAGTACTGTTTGTAATAGCAAAACATTTGGAACAATAAACTGATTAAAGAAACTGCAGCAAATCCAAAGATGCTACTATATAGATTTTTTAAAAGAATGTCGGATGCTCTCTATGTATTAATCTGGAAAAGTTTCCAGGACAAATTATTGTTCAATTTAAAAACACATGTAATGTGCAACCATATATATAGTAAAAGACAAAATAAGAATATACATTTATATTTATGTTTTTTCCTGCATAAGAACAACTGAAACAATTATAGAAGGCAGGACAGGGGAGAAAATTACCAGCATTAGAAGTGAGAACAAGACTCCTTGATGTTACTTATTTGAAACAAAAATAACTTTTGAAAAAAGAGTAAACTTCCAGGTTCTAAACTCTATCACAGTTGGGGAAGTTGGATTCAGTCAGTCTCCTAATAAAACTAGAATAATTATTTCTCAAAGGCTATGTTTGGAAAACAGATAAAGACAGACAGATAGCAATTATGAACTTTTATTGACCATTTGCTATTAATACATTTACATGTTCAAATACTTAGTGGCAACTCTTTTGCAGAGAACACTGTACAGACATTCAATGAAATGCAAACTCTTGGACCATTCAACAGTTTCCAACAGAGACGCTAAACCATAAGCATGGGAAAGCTATGTACACAACAATCTGGCAAGAGAGTAGAGTCAGAAGGAATGAAAAATAAAGCTGGATGAGGGCAGAACTTTCAATCACTGGAACAGAGAAAACGGGAAGGAGGGGCAGCTGCAGAATAGCACAGTGGTCTCCAAATTGAAGTGTACATACATCAGGGGGTATCAAAGTCAGTCATTCTGGATGATTCTTTACAAGGTTTGTGTTTTTAAATTTTTTACCTCAAATTCCCACTTACAAGTCATGCTTTCCTAATATTTAATATGTACACTGACATCCTTGGCCTCATGCCAGAAAACCACATTTCAGATGGTCACATGCATAAAGGTAATCAGAGGGAAGAATGGAAAGTGCACAGCACATGGGTTGGGTGTGGTGGCCTCAGTCAGTTCCATACTGTTAGCACTCTGCAACATAGCGCTTAAGATGTGGTGAACTTTTATTTTTTTTCAAAGCACATTCATAAAATGTCGAGATTTTTAACATTTTTACGAAGCTGTAAGAAATGACCTTTAAAGTGGAATTAAACATTTCTGCTACCCTTTCCTGCAATTACATATGTCATAGTTTTCTAAGGAGCTCTGGTAGTGTAGTGGTTGCGAATCAGGGTGTGAACCTCAAGGTCAGCAGTTTGAAACTACCAGCTGTTCCACGGGAGAAAGATGAGGCTTTCTGCTCCCGTAAAGATTTACAGCCTTGGAAATCCTGTACAGGGTTGCTATGAGTCGGAATTGACTCCACGGCACATACCAACAACAACAACAGTCATAGTTTTCTACCTAGCAATTTAAAATAATTATAATAAATAATGTGTTCCCTCAAAAAATAAACAGCATTTTAATAATATGTGAAAGTAACAAAGTAACTGTGTTTTGAAAGAAATCCAAGATGTGGAAAAACATTTCAAAAAATGTTTTAGAAATAGTTTAATCATTGTATTATGTCAGAATTGAAAAATGTAGGAATATAAACTCTCATTATCTGCACATCTGAAAAATTTTAGAAATAATTTTCTAACCTTTATTTTATAAAAATCTTCTAAACAAAGATCAATTTGTCAAAAAAAGTTACCCTTTTTTAATACATCTGTATTAACTGACATTAAGAAAAATGAAAATTTAAGAGTCAAATTACCTAATTGTTGGGATAATTTTTTTAAATTATTGTTATAATACGGCAGACTAAATCTGATAGATGTCCATGTCCAATCCCCAAAAGCACTGACTTAACCTTAAGTGGCTAAAGGGACATTTTTGCTGCAGTGGTTATGCTAGGGATCATGATATGGGAGATCATCCACGGGGGTCCAATGTAATCACAAGAATCCTAGTAGGAAGGCGACAGACTAGCAAAAGATGTGAGGGTGAAAGTTGGAGTGAAGTGAGGAAGGGGTCCTCTGGAAGCTGAAAAAGGGAAGAAAACAGATTCTCCCTTCAGAGCAACCAGAAGGAAACAGCCTTGCCAACACCTTAACTTTGGAGTCCTGGTGTGGTGATACAGGATGAGCACTGGACTGCAAACTAAAAGGCTGACAGTTCAGAGCACCAGCCGCTACTCAAAAACCCTGTAAAGGTCGCACAAGAACACCCACACTTGCAGATAATACCCACCTGACCTGGCTTCAATGACTGGATGATCAGAGCTCAACCAGAAGAAGAAAGAAGAGGAAAAAAGAGTAATCTGATACAATTTGATGA